TCTAAATGTAATATAAATATGAATTCGAGATGACCGCGGTATATTTTTGATGATGTGTTTTTTCACTAGCCTCCTTATTTTCCTGCTTTTTTTAAAAACACGAGTGAGCCGTTTCACTGGAATTCTGCTTGGTTCACGATCACGTCGAACTGTATGGCAGCTAGCCTTGACACAATGACAATGGATAAACTCGGCATATCGAGATCTACAGCCCTCTATTGAAATAGATTTGTCTTTGCCAGGTACAGATGTAAATGTAGACTCTGGGCAACAACAATTACGGCCATTATTCACTTCTAAGTTGTTTACATAGGAATTCTGGCATTCAGGTTCTAAGTAGTGCATTTTAGTTTAAGCTTAATCCCGATTCTTGTTCAGGCATTCAGTGTACTTTCGTAAGTTTGGCATTCAAGGTATCAAGGCATTCATTGGCATTCAACCTTTATTTGTTTTCGACGGTGAGAGAATGTTGCAGTGTTTGGAAAAAAGCTACAGCACAACTCAAAATAACAAAGAATACACAAGACAGCTTACCTTTAGCCAGGAATGAACGGCTACGTCCAGTGCCTTTTATTGAACAAACGTGAGTTTGAGCGAATTGAACAAATTGAACAAACGTGAGCTTGAGCACGATACAGAAACACGAGCCTGTCAAATGGAAAAACTCGCCTGCAAAGCGCACTGGGATTACGTCACAATATTACGCAAGAATGCAGATTTGTGTCGAAAACTACAAATCGAGCCGAATTTATAACTCCTGGCCCAGGCCCGTAGGGCCTGGGCCGGAGTAATGATGAAAATTTTGTTTTCTTGACACTTTACGGGTGGTTTCGAAGCGACTTTACCTTCAGGAGGATCTAGTAATAGCCATGCAATGTCGCTGTTGGACAATTCCTTCATCTCTGAGGCATAAACCGGTATGTGTTTATCACCAAGATAAAAAGACGCCGTTTCACTGTGATCCTGGGATTCAGAACCGTTCACAAATGTTTCAGAGTCGTCATCGTCAGACTCAACCCTAAAAATAATTATAAAAAATATTAGCATTATTCGGTTGAAAAAGAAGCACACAGGGGCGTTTGGTATGGGTGAAAGATCCCCTAGCCAACCAATCCAATACAGTGAGGATCATTTTCCGCCGTTCCGTGTTTTAGGATTTGGGGTCATTTTCCGCCGTTCCGTGTTTTAGGATTTGGGGTCATTTTCCGCCGTTCCGTGCTTTAGGATTTGGGGTCATTTTCCGCCATTCCGCCATTCCACCGTTCCGGCTTTTAGGGTCGCCCTTCCTCGGGAATCTTTCCTTCTTTGATTTGTTTATTTAACCTTTCGGCCAATGGATGAGCCCTCTCTACGCATCCGTGGAGCCCAACAAAGAAAAAACAGTTAGATTAAATTTAACTTGGGCAATTGTAACCTTTTACAGACTATATTAGGAAGGTATTGTGGGCTGTCAGTAGAACTGTGCGCTATGATAATGAAACACAAGCATTCATCCAATGCGGGTATAACAAAAGCAACAAAGTTCATTGGTAAAACTTACACAGTGCAGGATATCAAATCATCAGCTGTAAGATCCTCAGTGTCGTCTTCGTCATTTGAGGTAGGAACTGGTCCGTCGGATGAAAACCAAATTACGTGTCTCTGAACAATCCCGAACCGTATAAATTTTACAAGAATTTTATTCGATCTGAAACAATAATATAAATAACATTCCTAAACGACAGAAGCTAACCAAAAATAAGAGACCTAAGCACATCATATAATCTTAAAAACACGAACAGATTTAACCGCTAATTACATGCGGTCTTACAGAAATTACACTAACAGAAATCAACTCGAATAATTGAATGTAACAAAGCCTAAGAAAACCAAAAACGACTTAACACAACTGACTTACTTCGTGACGGGATTCCAGAGTTAAACTGAACTGTGTAACCATTAAAAACGGGAAAGCTATCCTGATTCATACCTCCGACACGACACGTGTAAAAACTAACTAAAAACCATCAACTTACTCATATTTCAATGTCAATCAATGTGATCAATAAGTGAAAAGAAAAAGTGAAATATTAAACTAAGGGCCTCTTCATATGAGCCCGGTAACCGGGCTGGCCCGGTTACCGGGACGAATTTTGTCGTCTGTTCATATGGGAAATTTCAGCCCGGTTACCGGGATGAAAAAGAGTCGAAAAGGGCGCGAAACGTGGACTGAGGCCCTGGGAACGAGTTTGAGCGCGAAATTCAAGAAAGTAAACAAAGATGGCGCCACGTTCAACAGTTATATCGTTCGCTCCCATCGTAGCGTTATCAACGCTCGTAGCTCTAGTGCTACAACTTCACGGGGTCCTTTTGCTATGGAAAATACATCAAACCAGGCAGATTGATGCAATCCGGATCGGCTTGTTGCGGAAGAAAAGTTATTTCTTCCGAAATGTAAAGCAGCTGAAGCAGAGAGATTTGTACAGAAAAAAACGAAGTTGTTGGCATAAACCCGGTCGAACTGACTTGTGGTGGAAAAACATCTGGACGGGAGTAGCACCTGAAGAATGTTGGAAAGAGATGTTTCGGATGTCAAGGGCTGCTTTTGTGAACCTGGTATCGGAGCTAAGGCCATACATTTCACCAAACCCAAAGTCACCTAACCACAGGGCATTGAGTGCAGAAAAAAAGGTTGCAGTTGCATTGTATTTTTTAAAAGACACTGGTTCCCTGAGAATGACAGCCAATAGTTTTGGAATAGCACTCAACACTGCATCAGCTGTTGTAAATGAGGTTTGTCAAGCTATTTCAAACTATCTTGGCCCGAAATATCTCCATCTTCCTGAAGATGAAGAAAGCATGAGGGAGAAGGTAGCAGAATTTGAAGCCAAATTTGGCATGACACAAGCTTTTGGTTGCATTGATGGGACACACATTCCAATTCAGTGCCCATCAGAGAACTCACAAGATTTTTTCTGCTATAAGCAGTTTTTTTCATTAAGTGTGCAGGCTGTGTGTGACTATAAAGGCTCCTTCATGGATGTTCAATGTAAGTGGCCTGGAAGTGTCCACGATGCAAAGGTTTTTGCCAATTCTTCCATCAGTGCCAAATTAAGAAGTAATAAATTGCCCTGTACATTTCAGACTCCAATTCCAGGTGGTGTCAAAATACCTAATTACCTCATTGGTGATCCAGCTTATCCATTGCTTCCTTTCTGCATGAAAGAGTATGATTCATGTACCAGTAATGAACAAGTTGTTTTCAACAACATGCTGCGTTCTGCCAGGAACCAAATTGAATGTGCTTTTGGCCGGCTTAAAGCAAGATGGTCCATACTCACTACAAAAGTGGACTTCAAACTTGAGGCAATACCAACAATTATTTATGCATGTTTTGTATTACATAATTATTATGAGAAGCATAACATGTATGTTGATCAGGACTTGGTTGACTCGCAAATTCAACTTATGAAGGAAAATGAAGATCAGTTTAAAAACACTCCTGATCCAATTTACTCTTGTGATGTGGGAGAAGGGAGTGTTGTGAGGACAACACTCACACAATTAGTACTGAAGAATCTTTAACGTAGTACTTAAACTTTACCCTATTTACATGTATTGCTGTACTTAGTTTAATTAACTTAAGGGGGGAGACCCTTAAATACAAAATGCATGCTATGGATGACTTCTAACTGACATATCTTGAGCTCCCTTAGTATCCTTGATTTAGTTTTTGGCCATATTTGTTCTATTGGAGGTCGCCTTCACTTTCGGTAGTCATGATCATATTTGGTAAGTCACGTAACCATAACACAAAAACCGTATAAACTCACACAGCTTACATCTTTCCCCAATGAAACAAAAGCCAACGGGTAGAGTGCATTCAGGTGCAAAATTTGTAGAATGGATTTGTTAAAATGTATGTTATTGAAGAAGCTATGACATCACAAAAACTTCATGACGTCATAGCTTTTTCAGTAATGCGAATTTTAACAAATCCATTCTACAAATTTTGCATTTGAATGCACTCTACGTTGGCTTTTGTTCCATTGGAGAAGGATGTAAGCTGTGTGAGTTTATACGGTTTTTGTGTTCTGGTCACGTGACTTGCCAAATATGGTCATGACTACCAAAACTGAAGGCAACCTCTAACAGAACAAATATGGCCAAAAACTAAAGCAAGGATACTAAGGGAGCCCAAGATATGATGGTTAGAAGTCATCCATAGCTACCATTTTGTAGTTAAAGGTCTCCCCCTTAATTTGCTAGCTGAACATTGTCAAGACATGAAAGATCCTAGCATATAACAACAACTTGATATTCTTGAACACAAACTTAGGCCACTTGAATGTTGGTAGTGTTCATTGACCAGCCCCTATATGATCGGCTTAAACCGATTCATATTACAGTGTAGGTACTGTAGGTGGCACTTTTCAAATTTAATTGTAACTATAAATTTCCATTTTTTGAACTAGTGTATTGGTTTCAGTTAATTACAAAGAAAAATTTTAACTTAAAATGTTTGTCTTAAACAGCACTCAGTACCAGTAGAAAAAATATAGCTGGGAAAATAACCAAGTAGAGATGTAATAAGAAATCCTTTTCTGAAACATCCTCAGATTTGTGCAATCAGGCAACTATGAATACTATAGTGAGCAATCCAACTGTGGATTATGGCCTGAATTTGTCAAACTCAGTATGAAAACTTTAACAACAACACGTACTAAGGAAGTCTGAAATTTTGTTGGATACACTAGAATGCTGCTTGAAACCTTTTCTGTGGGCCAAATTATGCCAAACAAGGCTGTTTACATTTGAAAAACAATGAATAAAAAATACTTTTAAAAATAATTATCAAAAATTCCCCGCTGATAACAGATTAAATCAAAACAAGGCAGGGCCTTCTCTGAGTATTAAAATTGAATTAAATATCAACAAAATGCAAATGTTGGCAGGAAAATGGAAATTGGCAGGTCAACTTATTTGCCCATAGAATAGAAAACTCTGTCAGTTATTTCCATAGCATCAAGTTGTGTTTGTATATCTATATACAATATAGATCTATTAGACAATGTCATAATGTCATAACTCTATGGTTGATAATAAAAGCTTCCACTGCTTCCTGGATCTTGCTGGCTACCATGTTGGCTAAACAGCTGGGCATAAACACCCTCAGCAGCCTGAGGTGCAACTTGCATTGGGTTTTGATAGAACAAATTCTGATTTACAGGTGCACGTACTGCATAAGGTTGTTGCAATGCTTGTGATAGCATCTCGATTGATCGACAAACTCCTGCACCTAGATCAGTCATAGCTTTACTAACACTTTCAATACTATGAGAAAAACTTGCTGTAGACTCCCGCATTGCCTCAGCAAGGTCCTTTCGAAATTGGGCATCTTCCTTAGCTTCTTTAATAAGCAACCCATCCCTCTGGGCAGCAGAAAGCTTTTTTTCCAAATGCTTTCTTTTGTTGTCGATTAGCTTTGGTACACAGTTAGCTTTGCGTTTGTTACCAGGTGCCACATCGCCACTTGCACTACCCCCATCATCTCCAGGGCCTAGATCACTTGAACCAGCTGAAGTACCTGCAGTTTCCAAATCCAAACTTAAGCTGTCATCTTCTGGATTGTGACATTGGACAACTTCATTGTCTTCCAGAAAATCATCTCCTCCTACACCATAAGAAAGGGGCTCTGTTCCGGCAGAACCACCCCACAATGTTATCAGTTTGTCGTAAAATTCGTAAACAAGTTTTCCACTGCCACTCCTACTTCCAGAAACTACAGCTTTAGAGAAACTCTGTCTGATTTCCTTCACCTTTTCCATCACTCTCTTCTGTCCTTTCGTTATCATATCTTTTGACTCTTTTACACGATGCTTTGCTTTGGCCTGCTCTTCCTTTGAACGGGTTTTGAAATCATCCGGTAACTTGAAAGCAGCCACAGGACCAAATATAGATTCATCGTCCTCATGAAGCTTCGCCATGTCCACTCGCAGTTCTTGGTACTGAATTTGTTTATCGGCGTCGAAATCAAGGTTTCTATAGGCCATTTTTGATTTGTATTCAAGTAAACAGTCGATCAACTGACTTACCGTGTCTGTTTCCCAACGGAATCTCTTCGAAGTCAAGGTGGAAGACACTTCGCCATCCGCCATGTTTGCACGCGTTGTAGGTCGCGTGAGCTGCGTTCCGTTTAGTCAGCGTCCTTACAAGGCATGCGTAGTTGAAAAATTTTCATCCCGGTAACCGGGCTGGAGTGTTCATATGGGAAAATATTTCATCCCGGTTACCGAGATCTCGGTTTCTACAACCGAGATCTCGGTAACCGGGCTGGCCCGCCTTCTCATATGAACACATCGAAATTTTTACAAAGGAAATAGGAGTGAGGCGAGATCTCGGTAACCGGGCTCATATGAAGAGGCCCTAAATAAACTTTAAACGTAACGCAAATGTCACGCGAGCAATTTTCTTCTCGAAACAGGGACTTCGCTTTTCCCGCCTTCGAATTCAACAGAACCGCGTTCTATTATTTCTCCACCGCAGTCTTCCTCTTCCAAGTAAGCTGGGAAAGCTGTAGCTGATGGACTACCGATATCAAAGTCATCACTTTCACTGTAAATGAAAAACACTAGGTCGCCTAGGTCCTAAAATTTTCTTGAAGTAGTTTCTTAGTCAATGTATCCTAGTGGCCATCTGCTGCGTTACGAAACTGATTTGTTGACTGATCAAGTCGTTAATCTTCGTAGGTTCATGGTCAACTTTTTATATAGCACTGCATAAAAGAACACGTTGCATTGAACTCTTGAGGGCATCTGGTAAATAGATTGACTTTTATTTCCTAGACATTTCACATTTAATTAAAAACTATTCGCTGTAATACGTCGTCTAGTCGAAAATCAAAAACTATCAAGGTTTACCAAACCTAGCTTATTCGCCCTTCTCTGAACAGTTCGTAAGTGTAGCAATAAGCAATCACATCCAGGAAATAAACAAACGACTGTGACATAAACTAACGTACACTGTAACAAAAGTCATAAAATAGCGACATTACTTCTCAGAAACAATTGCGTCCGCGCCGTCATATTGATCCTGTTCATCGTCATTTGATACGGTCAGAATAGAGCCTGTAGGTTCAGGTAAACATTTTGCAGCTTCTTTAGTAAAGAAGTTCTCGAACGTTTTTACTCCCTTAACTCCGGCTCTCCTCTTTTTTGACATGCATTGAAGTGGGCTATAACAACAAAAGAAAAAGACAGTTTTCAAACACATGCGTACATACAACTAAACTTTTAAACTTCAATATAAAAGTAACAATTTAAAATAAATATCCGCTGTTTTACAGGATTGCTGAGTGGGACACCGTGTATGGTGTTACCTCATTGAAGTCGGATCACGTGGAAATTCTGACACTATAACCTGATTAAAGGACGTTATTAAATTTATAATAAAAGTTCTTAAAGGTAAATTAAAAGCGATTATTTAGCAAAGCGCAAATACTGTCGTTGTCACAAAAATACTTACTTGTTTTGAAGAATAATATTTTTCCTGCCGTCTTTCTGTCAAGTTGAACGGAGTACGACTTGCAGCAAAGACCGCATTTGATTTTTGCCTCATTGATGGCTGTCGAACCTTCAAGTTTCTCAAGCTCTGAAACAAATTATAAGAAAAATACAGAAGGAGTAACTGGCCTTTTTAATATAATTATATGTGCATAATTCCAATATCCTTTTTTACATTCAGCTGTAAGACATTTTTGTTAAAACGAGCTAAAATGAAAACACAACGATATATATCTTGAACACATTTTAGTGTGTAATATCGCCGTATATTTCTAAGAGTCTTGCAGTATTTTGGCCAGCCCGAAGGGTAAGTGAAAATAAAAATGACGAGTACAAATTTACAGCAATACCGCACAAAAATGTCTAATAAGAAATTTATCCAACGATGTTCCATGATTTTTTTTTAATCGTTCGCGCGCTCAGCTCAATATGAACACGGAACCTGTTAAACCGGTCTTGGATGCCTCACAAAAACCAGTGCGCTGTGTACATGTACAACAAATTTAGTGGTTCAAGTTCCAGACCCCCCGCCTTGGTTATTAGTCGACGTGCTTTGTTTTTAGATACGACATTGGCTCTTTCCACCCGGCGAATTAGATGCTGAGGGTAACTCTGAGATGAACGAGGAAATCCTAGTAGTTCCTTCATGCTAAGAAATCTGACATAAGCATACGTATGGTGGGAACAGAACTCGAACGCAGAATTTTCCAGTAGTAATAGAAAGACAGTATAGCGTGAGCCAATGAGAATGGAGTATATAGAACATGTGACCGATATAGACCAATCACAAGGCCGGATTGAAAAATGATGTCACGAGTTACCTAGCGCCCCTGGTACCGAGTTTAATGTGCGCGCACGTGTGGGTGTGGAATGGATTTGCAAGCGCGAGGAGACAGGAATCTGTTTACGCGTGGGTAAAAAAGCAGGATCCTAATCCTTCATCACCAAGAATGATAAGCAATGTTGCAAAGGGAGATGATTTACATTGAATGCACGTGGACAAAAAATCCTCAATTGTAATTCCATGCGGGATTTGGTGATGGAAGTGGTTTTAAGCCCGGAGGAGACGACACTGACTTTGGATAACCCTCACAAAATTGTGTGATGTCAAAAAAATAAAACCATAAAACCAAAGCAAGAAAAGAACAAAGACATTTATCAAGAAACTAAAACGTAAACATTCCTTGGATAAAAAACATTCTTGAAATGGAACTGTGGAACAAACGGTATTATATTTCAACCCTGTTAAATTATCTGGACGACATTTCCTACAAGGTAGAATTGTATTTACACGCGGGTAAAAAAGGCAGGTTTAGATTTGTTGACCGATAAGAATTTTTCTCCCCCGCTAAAAAACTTTCTTGAATGAAAACAGACTTGTTTTGAATGAAACTTTGTTTTTATTTAACACAACAGTTGGAGTTTTACAGTTTCTCTTCTGAAAGTCAAAGGAATGAATATCAACGGCGGCTTCATTTCACTATTTAAACAAAAACAAATCCGTCTGTTAATATGCGTACTGAAAAAATAAATCACAGGAATGAATATCAACGGCGGCTTCTACAACTTGACAAATAATAGAAGAAAAGGTTTACAGCTGTTATTTTTGCAAGCCAAAGTTCTCCAAACAACCCGCAACAATTTGATAAGAAAAAAATAGGGCAACTCATGTTAACTTAAAGTTCACCGATTTTGAACTACATGAACGAAAACACGGCTGTAAAAAATTAATAACGCAGTAACAATAGTATTTCTGATACTCAACTCGATGCTGATCTAAAACACAAAAGCCATTACAAAGCATGAGATGAAGATGACTGAACTCATAACAGGCAACGGAGCTCCATTACACAGATCCTCAGAGCAGCAGGTTATTTTGCATTCTTTGTCTTTACAGAAGTCGGACTTTTCCCAGTCTTCACACGTCAGTGTTGAAGAAGTGCAGTCTTTGAAATCCGCTCAGACCATGCGACCCTTACGTTTTGTTTCCACCTGAAGCTTCAATGTATCGATGAGTGGATAGTGTAAGTCAAACTCCACATGTATCCCATAATACTTGTTCCCATCGTCAAGTCGCACATTGTGTAGAACAAACACAGCCACCGAAGAGGTTACGTTCACTTTCCAACTTAATCGTGACTTATACTCCTCTCTCACTTCAACAGCGCCACTACTGTTGACGGCAACGAGTTTCTTGTCGGCCGCTGAAACAGGATTCGTCCAAATTCCAAAGAAAACTTCAACAAGCTTCATATGTCTCGGATGACGATAGCGCCATTCTAGAGAAACATTCTCGCCCTTGTAGACTATTGTTGGGTTGCTGGGTTTCAAAGTAAACCTCTGTTTTTTACCTGTTAAAGATTAAGGAGAAGTTGCAAATAAACTAAAATTTCCCTTTCTTAGTTTTTCGGGATACGTGATTCAAGCAGATCGCTTGTGTAGCGGTTAGGGAGCTAGATTCATTGGCACAA